ATCCCCTCCCACCGTCCCCATTCCAAGACCCCCAGACCCGGGGGTGCCTCCCCCCAACTCCCGCAGACCACCCCGATTTTGGGGACCCTCCCCGGGATTTTGGGGGCCCCCCCTCGTGTTTTTGGGGCGCCCCCTCACCGCGGATCTCGAGCCTGCACTCGGTCAGGGCCTCCCCCAGCTCGTTGACGGCCCTGCAGCCGTAGGTGCCGCCGTCGAAGGGTCCCGGCTTGCGGATGAGGAGGGTCAGGACCCCCTGGCTGTGCCGGGCCAGGAACCGCGGGTCCTCCCCGATGGCCACCTGGTTCTTCAGCCACACCACCTTGGGCTGCTCGGGGAGGGGGTAAAAGGGTCAGGAGAGACCAGAAATGCACCCCAAAACCACCCACACTTGGGTCTGAATCCATCCCCTACTTACGGGGGGAGTGACCCCCAAAATCCACCCCAAAAACACCCACACCTGGTTCTTCAGCCACACCACCTTGGGCTGCCGGGGGGGGGGTAAAAGGGTCAGGAGAGACCAGAAATGCACCCCAAAATGCATCCCAAAACACCCATGCCTTGGCATTAATCCATCCCCTACTTTCGGGGGGAGTGACCCCCAAAATCCACCCCAAAACCACCTCAAACCCCCCCAAAAATACCCCAAAACCACCCACACCTGGGTCTGAATCCATCCCCTACTTTTGGAGGGAATGACCCCCAAAATCCACTCCAAAAACACCCAAAAACCACCCACACCTGGTTCTTCAGCCACCCCACCTTGGGCTGGGTGGGGAGGGGGTAAATGGGCAGGAGAGACCAGAAATGCACCCAAAAACCACCCCAAAAACACGCCAAAACCACTCCAGAAACACTCACACCTGGGTCTGAATCCATCCCCTACTTAGAGGGGGAGTGACCCCCAAAATCCACCCTGAAAACACCCCAAAACCACCCCAAAAACACTCCAAAAACCCCCACACCTGGGTCTGAATCCATCCCCTACTTTTGGAGGGAATGACCCCCAAAATCCACCCCAAAAACACTCCAAAA